AAAAGAGATCACCATCCATGAGGATTGTGGTTTTGTTGTGACAGGCAGACTGGGATATTCCCTTCCCTGGCTTTGCCAGCAGAGAGCCTGGTGAGTACCTCTTGTGTGAGTGTCCACTGGCCAAATAGGGCATCAGCAGTGGAGAGGGAGGGCTAAAAATCAATTAACCACTCATGGGAATTGATGACTGAAAGCCCAGACCCTGATACAAAGAACATGAAGGTTTGACTGTGATAAGCAAATAAATTGTGCTTTCTTTGCATTCATTTCACCACAGTTCTGCTGGGCACTTTTTCAGTGTGTAAGAAATAGCCTAAACTAGATTGTCAGCAGAGCAAGGAACAGGAGTGAGCTTGGAAATGGGATGTTTCCTCCAAGAGCATTTTAGCTGTGATCTTGAGAGGCACATTGGGCTGCTCTGTACTTCCTTTAGAGGTTCTTTCTGTCCAAGCTTACTTTGCACATCTCCAGTTTGCCTGGCCAGCTTGGGGTCAGGGACTGGATATTAGGCAAAACACAGTGATGATGACTTGCTTGAGCCTCCCAGAAAGTGTTGGGTTTTTTTTTTTTGTAAAGTCACAACAGCATTATGTCTTCCTTCCTCCCATTCCCAGGCCTGAATTAAGTTGTGCTGCATCACAGCTTGTGTTTGTCAGCCAGAGATGCTGTGTTCTCTTTCCTGCTCACACAGGTCCTTGGGCTGCTGGTTGCTCTGCTCTGGCTCTGTGCTCTTGCCTTGGTTTTACTCAGTTGCCTCTGTTGGTTCCCTGTAGGTGCAGCTGGAGCGGATCCGGCAGGCAGATTCCCTGGAGAGAATCCGTGCAATCCTGAACGACACAAAACTGACGGACATTAATCAGCTCCCTGAGACATGACACCCTGATGAGCAGGCTCCAAGGCTGCCTTTGGGGTTTTTAACTCATCTTTATAGCGACATTAATTATTATTTAACTCTAACCGAAAGAGCAGAAGACACCAGAGGGGAGCAATGACTTAAGTTTTGTTTCTAGAGGGGAAAAAGGTTTCGTACTGGGCAGGAAGAGAGCACGAGGGTGACTTGCAGTGTAGGAAGGAGAACTTTCTAATGGAAACACTAATGAGTGCAGTGTTTCGTGTTCCACTGAGTGGGATCAGTCCTTACATTCTGAAAAACTTCCCTCTTTCAGCCGACTCCGTAACCTAATAGAGTTTTGGAACATTTACCCCTGTCTTTCCCTCTGTCCTTTCCCCCACTACTGTGATCAAAGTAGCTGCTGGAAAACCATATTGTCCCTCCAAAACGTTGAAGAGCAAAGTGGTTGAAGTTTTTCTGTTTGACTAGTCAGTAACAGTATTCAGCTAGCAGAGAGAATGAGGTGTAGAGTATGCTGTATGAATATTTTATATTAAAATATGACTTTATTAGCAGGACACTGGATATTGATCTTATTTCATAACTCAGTACTTTTTGTTTTTAAAACCATTGGCTCTGTGTTGAAGAATCTGAATGCTGCTGAAAGGTGGATATGAGTGAGCTGTGTCTCTCCTGGACAAAGAAATGCTAATCAAAAAAAAAGAAATGTGTACTGAGAATTTAGCTTCTTTGCCATTTGTTCTGTTGAATTCAGATACTGAAAGAAAAGCACAAGAACTGCACTGTTTTGTAACCTCTTTTCACAAATGTCATTTAGAATGTGGAACTATAACCAGTTGTTTCTCATCTCTACAGCTGAGAATCCCCTTTTCTGTGGAGAAAAAAACTAACCAAAACCAACCAACCCAAACAAATCCCAAACAAAAACCAGCAGGTGGAAGTCCTGTGCCCTGGGTGAGCGTTGGCACGAGGTGATGCAGGTCTGCTCTGCTCTGGTGGGTGATGAGGTGTCACAGAGGTGCTGAGCAAAGCCTGACCCTCCTCACTGGGTCTGATGTGGCACCAAGCAGGGCCTGAGTGCCAGTCAGCACAGCTGGGCAGGAGCTGCAGGCTCTGCAGGCTGGAAGGTACAGTGCCCCCCTCACTGCAGGTCTGGTGTCATGGCACTGCTCAGAGCTGTCCCCTGTTCCCATGCCCAGACATGGAAATTGCACTGTGGAATGTGGCAGCAGAGGCAGGAAATTCTTGTGATCAGTCAGTTGCCAGGTTTGGGTTTCTTGTTCTATAAATGTACAGTGGTAACATGAGTGTTCCTCCTCCTCTGGCTCCCTTGGCTGCAGTTCTGTGCTCACAGCTGGGTGGGTTCCTGTGTGGCTGCAGGTGTTGAGGTGGTGCAAACCCAATTCTTGAACTGGTCCCTACTTACAGCTCAGTTAGGAGGAGGAGGCTGAAGGAGCAGATCACACTGTCCAAAGCTTCTAACTTACACTTTCTTCCATTCCTTACTGTGTTTTTCTTTACATACTTGGCCAGAGATCTGCTTTTCTTCATCACCTTCAGCAGTGACAGAACATGCTCCAAACTGTCATGCACATGACTATATTTTAAGTGCTTAGATCCTGTTTTAGCAGTGTATATCCTGCTACTAACAAAAAGTCAGAACCAGTGGTTTTGAAGAGGAATGCCTTAAAAGCAGCCAAAAAGCAGCATACAAGCTCAATTCTTTGTCACTCATTGAAAGAAACAAAGCATTATTCACCCTAGCAATTAATTCCCTTTGTAATCCTGACACTCAAAAGTCATTTTTCCCACTTTAGTAATAACTAGACTAACAGATGGCAGAGCTGTCATCATCTTCAGATGACAGTTTCACATAAAGGTGAAATTGAAGTGTGGCTTGGGTCTTTAGGATTTGGCTATTACCAGATCTGGAGGGTTTTTAACCTTTCTCACTATGTGCTGAACTGTGGCTGACAGCAGCTGGGTCCTGATCCATAAATCCAGGTGTTTGGCATTCAGTTTTCCAATTGTTGGGGTCCTGTTCTGTTGGGTAAACTTTGGAGACAGAAGTACAGGTCTTTAGTAGGAGCTGCAGAACGAAAAGCTTTTTCCTCTGTTCCTTCCCAAAAACTAATGTGTAACTGGTTACTGAGTTAGTTACCATAACTGGTGACAACCTCAGCTGTGCAGCAGCTGTAAGGGAACTGCTTGTTACATGACAAAACTACACATCTGAATGCTTGAGGAGCTGCACCTGAAGACTTACACAGAAAAAGGAGGTTTGGTTGTGTTTCTGGACCGTCCCAGTGTGAGAAGCAAGGGCAGGGCCTGGTACCTCCTTCCAGCATCCCTCACTGGTCCCTGTGTCCAGCCTGTTCCCAGCAGCCCAGTCTGCTCTCAACAGCTGTGGCTGTAACTGACTGGTTCAGGTGGTTTCAGATAGTCCAGGGCTGGGGTGACTTTTCCTTGGTGGTTTGTTTTTTTAAATATTGACACAGCTTTCTCCAGGTGTGGTGGTGTCAGGGTGAGCAGGTGGCTGCAGCCCCTAGGGGAAGGAGGGGAGTGGGCAATCGGTTTGGGCTCCCTTGTAGCCACAGTACCAGTGAACCAGTGGCCAAATGCAGCTCTGCAGGCCCTGGGGGTGTGTTTGCATGTGTGTGCATTTCCCTGAGGCTGTGCTGCTCCAGAGGAGGCTGAGGCACAGTGGTAGGGCATGGAGGGGCCTGAGAATAGAACTCACCTGAAAGGTGGGAGAGGTGATCCCAGTTCCCTTGTGAACTGGGAGGCACTGGGTGAGCCCACAGAGGAACTTCCTTTCAGTTTGGAGAGGATGGGCAGGGAACTATTGCACGGTTTTCCTTCTCACCACCTTATTCCATCATGAACCTGCACACTTGTCCTCCTGTTTCAGTACTAGCTGTGACCATTGTAGCATTGGAACACGAGTCACCTTTTCACCAACTGGTGAAACTTCAGGTCAGACCTTTGAAACAATTTGTTTTGAGATTGGAGCCCTGGCTGCTCACAGAAGTGGTGGGAGATGTGCTCCCTCCAGCCAGATGTCCCTCCTGGGAAGGACAGCACAGCTTCAGCAGCAGTTCAAGCTTCTGCTGAACTCAGACTTAAACTTAAAGGGGCCTTTAAAACCAAACCAAGACAGTGTGTGCCAAATTTGCAGAGCAAATTGAAGACTGTAAATGAAGTGTAGTAAAAACTCTTGGTGTAGATACTCACTGGATGGTGGATTAGGGTGTTACTGCTCATAAACACGAGAACACAGATGCTCTTCCTTCCAGTTCTGGGTGTCCTGGAGAGGGATGGGGCTGGGTGGGAGGTTCTCCTCGCTCAGGCAGTGCTTGTGACCTCCCAGGTCAGCTGGAACACAGGGGGAGAGCAGCTTAGCAGTGGAACTGTGGTGGTGTAGGCTGTACCAGGGACGAGCTCGAGTTCTGTCTGCATTCCTCTACCTGTATAGTCTTAATCTGTACAAAAAGTGTTCTTGCAGCATGTCAGTAGCCCCTGTTACTCCTGGCTGTCCCAGCCCTCCCTCCCGTGCAGCTTCTCCAGCAGCCTGTGCTGTGCCACGTTGTTAGCAGTGCAGTACAACTTCCCAAACCTGAGCTTGGCCACGGCGCCGTTCCTGAGGGACTGGGGGGGGGACAACGAGGATTTCTTGTCCACTAGAGTCTGTGTACAGCAGATACTCAATTGGCCTTTTCATGTCAAGAGGGACTCCAGAGCCATCTTTTGCTGAAGGCAAACAGTGTTTGGAAGTTAATACTGCATTCCAGTGAGCCAAGCCATTGGTGTCCTGTGCAATTGTGGGTGTAGAATTCTGCTGTCTCCAGGATTCCAGTGTAACCATTTGTTAACTGTATTGAAGGTGTGTCCTTTATGGAGAAAGTGTTCCAAATTAAAAAAAAAAAAAAGCTGCTGAAGTGTGTGTGTGTGTGTGCACTGCTCTGGTCTTTCTACTCCTCCCCCTGGGAACCCCTCATGGAGCAAGGGTGGGAGGCTCTCCCAGCATAACCCCTGAAGGCAGCAGCAATCCCCAACTCCTGAGGTAGCTCTAAGTATTGCACTGTGACATATTGAGTATCAAACACCTCCTCCACCATCCCAGGAGACAAGCAAAGAACACAGCATGTAAGGAGTCCTATCAAAAGTATTTTATTTCACAGTTCTTTAGAAAATAATAAGTCAAAGGTGTATTGTTCAACATACAAATGCTATATATACAAGGGGCAAGCCCAGGGACAGTCAGAGCTCCTCCAGCCCTTGGGTGCAGAGTCCTCACCGTTAGAAGTTCACGTGGTTCCTGATGTCATTGATTTGTTTCACCATCTCCCTTATGTGTTCTCCCCTGCAAGAAAACGACCCAAGTCAAAAAGCTGCAGGTCGTTTGCTCAAAGCTAAACAGTTCAGATGGTAGAAGGAGGGAATGGGAGCACTGCTGGATGCAGCCTGGCCCTGCATCCTGGGGCAAACAGCACTTGCACTACACCTGCTGACAGTGCTGCATGTCCTGTGCTGCAGCCCCTCTCCCCCTGCCCCAGCTGGGCACCAGCCCCTCCTGCAGCACAGCTCCAATGCCACCCTGGAACGGAGTGCCAGGCCTGGATGCTGCAGGAGGAGCCAGGCTTGAACTTACTCCTCCTTCAGGACAGTCTGGATGCACTTGGTCTGGTAGGCACTGAGGCTGATGCTTGGTGTTCGAGGGCTCCGACCCATCTCCATCTTTTTCTGCTGGTATTCCTTTTTCATCTTAACCTACAAGTCAGGTACAGAGAAGGCCCCAGTCAGTGTTGGTCCTGCCTGCCACAGTGACACCTTGTTAGTTACAGCCTGGAGTGCTGGACTGCAATGAATTGATCCTTTCTGGGTTAAAATCTGCCTGGTTTTGCACTCTTCCTCCTGCAAAGAGAAGGAATGTCCCTGCCAGGGCTGAGCCAGGTGTGTGGGTCCTCTGAGGGTTTATATTGGACCCACAGTCCCTTTAGTAGGTTGTTGCTAATTAACACAAATACAAATTGCTCCGTTGTCAGGACCCTGTTCTGTCAGCACTGAGTGAGAAGCTGTCAATAACACACCAGGCAGGCAATTCCTCCTCTCACCTGTCTGATAGCATTGCTCAGGTGCTGCAACTGATCATGTATTGTCTGCAGTTCCTTCTTCATATCTTTTTCAGTGTCTGATAGAACAGGAAGTTGAGAGTAGAAACTCCGAAGGACTTTCTTCATCCTTGAAGCACAAAGCAAGAAATGTTGCTGAATGAACTGTTAGCCCAGTTGTGCTCCAACCCCTGCAGCCTGGTGCTCTGGTCATGCTTCCCACAGTCATGATTTCACTCTCCCCTTTCAGCTGGTCTCGTGTGGCATTTGGCTCAGGCTCAACCTGCAGTGTCCAAATTTTACCACCAAGCTCCACACAGGGAATTGCAGAAGCCAGTGCAGCACCTTCTGCCCACTCTGCAAACCTCTGGGCAGCAGTGTGTGCTGAGCCAGAGCCTGCTGTGCTCACCTGTTCATGATGTCTTCTTGCTTCTCTTTGGCTTCTTCATACTTGTCAGCCAGGCGCTCAGCCATCTCCCGCAAGCTCTTCCTTCACGCAAGTGAGAAAGGTTTCCTTACTTTAGATTTACACACAAGTCTGTATGTGCAAACAGGACAAGGAACCCCAGAAAACAAGCTGGGACAGGGAGTGAACCTGCAGGCTTCAATCTGGGAATGCTTCACCTCTCAGCTGTGTCACACAGGGCCCTGTGTAACCACTCTGTGCATCACTCCTGGTGTTTGACTGGATAAAACAACAGGTAATACTCACCTTTCCTCTCGACAGTAATTCAAATCTTCCAGTTGTTTCTTTTTCTGTCCCCACAGCAGCTTCACTCTTGAAATAAACACATACAAAAAGTATCACACCACCTGCAACAGCAATCCCACTGAAAAAGGGGCAGAGGTGAGAACAAACCTTTCCCTTTTGCCCCAACTGATTAGAAGCAGCAGAGCCTCAATGCAATTTTCCTTTGTCAGGAGCAGTGCTGAGGGTCAGATTTCCTATCCCCCACAGGCCCAGACAACAGTGAGAGAGAAGTATTTCATGTGTGTGTGTGTTTACTGTCTTCCTCTCCCCTATGAGCCACTCCAGAGATCAGGAGTCACTCCCTCAGTTTTAGTGCTGGTATTCATTCTTAGCCTTGCATTTAGCACATTTCACTCACTCACAAGGATTAGCCCCAAAAGGAAGGTCAGTGCTTGGTACTCAGTGCTGCTGTGCCACAGAGTTATTATCCAGCACACACTTATGAGGGGTTTGCATTACCTTTGCTGAATTTCCTCTTTTGCCAGGTCCTGTTTCAGTATATATTCCTCTCTGAACACCTGGGTGGCTCTGCTGAGGAGCTGAAGGCATTCTTCAGGGGGAGGAGCAGCATCTTTATCCCCAGCCCTAAAGAATAAGAGAGAGGTTTTGGCAATGTTGCTCTGACACATTCCTCTGAAAGGCTAAATCACTCCCAGTGCTTATGCTAAGGGCTTGGGGAGGGCTTGTTATGGAAGTCATGGATTACAATTGAATCCCTTTGCTAGGAATCATTGTTCTCATACGAGGAAACCTCAAGGTGGATTAAGATACTCCAGACCCAGTGGACCAAGTGATGAACAACCTCCTTGGCTGAGGACACCCTGCTTTGGGCAGGGGCCTGGAGCAAGGTGTTCCCATCCCTGTATGGACAGTGAGCTGCAGGAGCTGTGCCATGCCCAAGCCAATGTCCAAAGAGCTGAGGAACACCCAATATTCCCTCTTCATGTGCCCCAGGAAAGCATCTTTGCTCACTTGAGGTGCAGGGGATTGGCAGCACTGCGCTGCAGGATGCTCTGGATGTGTTTCTCGAAGGAATGCTCCGACTCGGCCACGATGCGCAGAGGGGAGTCAGTCAGGTCTGTGTCCTCCCTGGTGCCCAGCAGGGGTGGGGATGCAGGGTGGACTTTGCTCCTGCCACAGAACAGCAAACGGGACGACACATTGAAACCAGCAAAACTTAAACTAGGTCAGAGTAGAACTGGTAGTGAGAGTGAGGAACTCAGCCCTGGTGGAATTGCTGTGTTATAGCAGTTAAGTCAGAAGATTCTAAGAGAAACTGTTTCAATTATGTGGTAAATCCATCCTTGGAGCTCACACCCCGCCTCTCTCTGGAATCAGGAGCAGGAATCATAAAAATCCTTTGACTTAAGGAAAAGAAATTTCCATAACAAGGCAAGTGCTGGCACAGCAGCACGACCTGCCTGACACAGCAGCCTGACAAGTCCCTGCCCACCTGTGTGGGAAGAGGTAAGTAAATAAAGGTCTGGAGGAGAACCTGACATTAATCCTAGCTCTGCTCTTGGTACCTGTCCTACATTCATCACTGTCCTGCAATAAATAACCTGAAAACAGCATCTTCCCCTCCAGGTGGTCATTCCACTGTGCAAATGCACATGTACCACACTACTCTGGATCTCTCCCAACACCTGCAAACAAAGTAACTGTGGAAGTTACTAAAATCCCATTTTTCCCCTTTCCATGCACACATACCCATGGTGCCCATTAAGGATCTCCACAGCACTGCCTGTAAAGGTTGTGATTTGCAGATTCCTCATCATAAAAAAATGAAGGGAAAACCCCCCAACGAGACTGTCAAGAACCTTTTGATGCAACTCTTGTCCTAAGACTCATTAAAAGTGCTATGATTAATTATATCCCCCTACAAACATCTCAGCAGTAGTAAGCAACTACTATAACAACACTTTGGTGCTCAGCCAGGGAGTGTTCAGAAGGCAAAACTTCCTTGTGTGTCCTAAGAGATGCAGAAGTCTGGGGTGAAAGAATCAAAGAGTAATGACAAGCAGTGATATCCTGAGATCCTTCCCATGCAGCACTCACAGACTTCAAACCAGTCAAGAATCACTTACAAGAGAGGCCTTGTAATACACTCATAGGTGTTGGTGATGCAGATCATGGTGGGCCCCAGGATGTCAGAAACGATCCAGAATCCTCTAATTGGAGCAGGCTGCCTGAAGGGAGGAAAGCACAAGAATAACCTGGTCAGAAAAGTGCTTAGTTCCTGAAGTTGTGCATGTTCATTCTTTTGGAACAGCTCTGGGTCAGGGAAATGGAAGTGAACATTTCTGCTGGTCTGATAGATGATTTCCAGACAGTAACACAAGAATTTAAGCTGCTTCCCTCACTGTACACTAAGAACCCCAGTGCATAAATGGCTTATTTGTATTGTTTGAATTCTTTTGAGCTGTGTTATTTTCAGTGGAAAGAATGCAGCAAAAGAAGGCAAATCATAAACATTTTCCAGAGTAACTCCCTGATTTGGAAGCAACAGGGTTTGGTTTTTACCTGCATGGTAATGGTTTTGTACAAAGGATGTGTTCAACAAAGCACTTCTGTTCTGCTCCCAACTCCTGTAAACTGTCTTTGTCTTCTTCGTCTACAAAGAGACACATCAAGATGCATCAGATCCACTTTGCAGGGTCAGGGATTCAGTACCACCTGTATCCACCAAGCCATTACTGGCAAAATGCAGAGGTTCAGCTGGTGCTCCCTGTCCTCACTCACCTGAGGCAAGGAATTTGTGCAGTTTGCTGATCCATGTCAAGCCCACACTGTGGACACCAGCTTCGTGCGTGCAGTGGTACCTGGAGGGACACTTCGGATCTGAAATTTAAACAGCAAATAAGCCCACACTGTGGACACCAGCTTCGTGTGTGCAGTGGTACCTGGAGGGACACTTTGGATCTGAAATTTAAACAGCAAATGTAAGACAAGGCACTGAACTGAGAAAACTCATCCCTCACACCACACTGCTCAACATGTCTATCAGCTCACTGCCCAGGCAGATGTAACACCCCAGGGCAAGATCTTGTCCCCATCAGCACTGAGCCAGGTGTGTTAGCCATGTTACCAGAGCCAGAAACACCTCGTGAGCAGTTTTGAACTGTTCCCATCTCACCACATCAGTATCAACCCACTAGGTTTAAAGGGCAGATCAGCTAATGCCAGCACACAGCATTCTCACAAGACCCAAACACTCCATCCTGCCCAACCTTCTGCCCCACAAGCACAGGGGATGATAAGTAGTTCTTCCCTCAGGGTCACACTCTCTTACACAAAGGTCAGCACAGATCCAACAACTTCTACTTTATAACCCACAGCTGAAAGGATTTAGTACCATGTGACCATGTGTAATCTGTCCTTGAGCAAACACTGAAGCACCTCCAGGCTTTGCTCCTTCCAAAGCTTTATTGAGGGCACCTGGCAAATCCTTACTCCAATGCCCATTTGTTTGATACCAGTGGGAATTTGCAAACAGATGGATCCTAAATGCATGGAATAGAGTAAGTGAATGACAGCCCTACCTCGGTGCAGTTTGATAGGGCAAGAGAAATCAGACTCCAAAGGATCTTCCTCATCTCCTGATGCCAGTTTCAGTGCAAGTTCCAGCTCAACACATTCAAACACGTACAGGGAAGGAGTAAGATCAGATCTTGGGTCCCAGGACTTTTCTGACTGTAAAATGCATTGAATTCTTCTGTGAGACATCATTGAAATGGGAATTGCCAATAGAAACAGCATCAAGAAAGAGTTACAAGGCAAGAGTGTTAACTGTCAGGGAAAATGATTCAACTTGCTTTTTTTTTTTTTACTTCAAAAACTAACTCAAATCCAGGGTTTCTTCTTAGAAGAACCTCTTTAAATTGTTTCATAGTAACTTTGATCAAAACCTGATCTCCTGTCAGGGCACACAGGACTGAGGTTTAAAGCAAAAGCACAACAGGGACTGGCTGGAATGGGGGGAAGACTCACTGCCTCAGGGCACACACCCCAGGCCTCCTGCCACCTTGCAACCTTGTGACTGAACGAACAAAAATGCTTCTAGAAGAACACCAAGACAAGGTACCTGCTCATCATCCTCTTCTCCATCCAGCACCACGCAGTGGTACAGCATTCCCGACTCGGTGGCAATCACCAGGATGTTTGGGATACAGGGCAGGCACAGGATGGCACAGGCGTCGTAGCCGTAGTTATCCTCTGCTGCTGGATGCATGGGCAGAGGGCCCAGCAGCTTCCCAAGGCTTCCAGCACTGGAATAAAGGGTGAAAGGAGACTTCCCCATGGCTGCCTGTGGGGTTTGCTGCACAGTAACTACAAGCTAAGGATTTGGAATTCTAATTCCTGTTAGGCAGCAGCAGTGCAGACTCCTGAGGATGAAGAGTGCAACCTGCACCTTCTTGCTGGAGCTCTCTGAGAACTAACTGGAGCTCAATAATCACATTTTATGCTGTGAAGACAACCAAAGCTACACTGCAAAAAGTTCAAGAGGAAACATTTTCATACAAGAACACAAAGTGCTCAGAGAAAGCTCAGATTAATTACTTCATTGGTTTCTTGCAGCATTTTGTGTCATTTTGTGCTCTCGAGGTAGAACTTCAGATGGACTAAGCCCATTTCATTGCCTGCAGAGAGGATCTGCTCAATGCTGATCCATTTCTCATGCAGAGCACACAGTGCTGTTTCTAACCCAAGAACCACCTTTTAATATTCAGCTACACTAGAACCAACTTGTAAATCTTTCACCATCTTCTCAAAGCTACACTAGAACCAACTTGTAAATCTATCACCATCTTCTCAATCTTCTGAATTTCTTCTGGTGTCATGTTTATATTCTTGATTAATCTTCTTGACTTTTCCTTATAGAACCTGCCTGTGAACTCTCTATGCTCTTCAAATACTCCTTTTCCTGAGGTGCCCCTGGCTCACTGAGCCTCATCCAAAGCTCAGGATGTCTGTGCTGTGAAGTGAAATACACTTAACAGCCCTGGACCCACAGGTCTTTTCACAGTCTGGTGATATGATGTCAGATTGCTGATGGTAAATAAGGCACAGTGGATTGTCAGGAGTGAAAACTGCACCATTAATATCCAGATGAAAAGGGATGACACATTGGTTTTGGATTTCAGTCTATTTGCACTGCCACAGAGAGAGAAGAGGCTGCAATGCAACAAATCTCAGCCCAGCACCCCTCAGAGAGTCCCAGCCAAGCTGAGGCACAGCTCTCCCACCCTGACACTGCACAAACATCCACACACACCATGAACCCTGAGGGTGAGCCTGCCCTACCTCTGCAGCAGGCTGATGTAGGTGAGGAATGTCTCTCCATTCTCATAGAGGATGTACAGGGGGTAGCCCAGCACCTCCTCCCTCCCTCGCTGGCCCAGGATATGCTCTGGGACAGGCACCTGTGGGCCGAAGTCAAAGGCCACAGCAATCTCTCCCAGGGATGCTGTGTAGGCTCTCCTGGTACAGGGAACAACAAGAGCTGAGTCAGCAATGCCTGCAGAGTCCATGTGGTGCCCAGTGACTGCCAAACCCCACCCATCAGTGCCCTGCCACCTGTGACATCCTTCTGCTGTCACCTCATTTCTGCAGTGCCCCCAGCACCACCCTGGGGTGACAGCAGGGACACTGGTGCCTCTGTGAGGTGACTGCTGGAGACCCTCAGAGTTCTCCTTTCCAACTAGGCCAAGAGGGGAATAGAAGGATGATCTATTTTCTGCATTCCTCCAGTCAAAAAGCCTTTCTGCACCCCATCTTAAAGGCAATGTGTGGTTTTCAAAATGCTACTGGGAGAAATGCTTCACTGTAGTTTGTCACCACTTTCTTTTAGCAGGATGGGGGAAGGAAATGAAAGGGAAAAGGGAAAAAAGGAGAAGGAGGAAAGGAAATGGGGAAAAGGGGAAATGGGGAAAAAGGGAGGGGGAAGGGGAAGCAGAAGGGGAGGAAAGGGAAAGGGAAAGGGGGAGGGAAAGGGAAAGGGAAAGGGGGAGGGAAAGGAAAGGGGGAGAGAGAGTGCAGGTACTGTGACAGGAAGAAGTCCTAGAACTGAAGAATTCCTATCAGATTTTCTGGCAGATTTATCACTGATTCCTTCAAAACAGCCCCAAGAACACAGAGCTGATTCTGCAGAAACATTTCAAAGCACAAGAAGCCACACAAACCCTTTTTTGATTGTCAGAGTCTCCTCCTCAGTGTCCGAAAGAGAAATCACTTTGATGGGTGTCTGAGGCACCTTCAGACTGTAGAACCTGGAGGAAGGAAAAAGCCATGTTCACTCTGCTGCCAGTGCTGCACATTCCCTGTGATGTGGGAATGTCAGCTAGGCTCAGCCTGGAATTCCTCCCATCCCCTTGGTAAGAATGGCAGGATGCAAAGGTCTAGAGGCAAATCAAGACTGGCTACGACCAAAAAAACCCCACTGAAGGCATCAGCCACAAAGGAGTTTTACCGTATAGTGTTATCTGAAGTCAGGAGCACAATGTGGGGCTCCAAGGTCTCACAGGGATACCAAGCTGCATGCTTCAGAGTCAGGGAGGTTGAGCTGGTGAAGAACCTCTCTGCAATGGGAACAGTGCTGCAACAGAGGAGAAACTTGTGCTGTCACCAGAAACACCCCAGTTACTTCTAAAGGGAAGTGAGGGCAAGAGGAGCTGAGACACAATTAGGTTTCAAGGTACTATCTGTACTATAGCTGAGACACAATTAGGTTTCAAGGTATTTATCTGTACTACTCTGAAAGATGGAGGAGCAGCTTGAACTGGAAGCTCTTTGTTAATTCCACCTGAACATGAGGTGTTAGCTACCACAGCTGAAACCTGGAAGTGTCCAAGGCCAGGCTGGATAGGGCTTGGAGCAACCTGGGCTAGTGGAAGGTGTCCCTGGCAGGGGTGGAATGAGATGGGCATGGAGGTCATTCCCACCTAAACTATTCCATGATTCTATGAAAGGCTGGAGAACACTAGAGGAACACCTTGCTTGTTTAGAAAGCCATTTATGTAGGTCACTCGACAATCAGCAAGTCCCTAAGCCAAAACACCTTCATTTGTGACTGTCCCTACAACCCTGACACAACCAGTGTCTTCCACCAGCACCTTCTGTGCCCCAGGAGAGAAGGAAGGTGTGGAGGCACAGTGGCAGGACAAGGACATACATCATTACCCCCCTGAGGTCTCACTCACCTACAGTTGACAGTGGATTTCCCACCCTCAAACTCGGAGTTCTTCCCCCATCGCTTGGGCAGCTCCAGCACCATGATCCCCTTGGTGCCAATGAGAGCCACATGGTGCTGTGCAGGGCTCAGCAGGATCTGGTACACCTCGAACAGGGGAGGGTTTATGCACAGCAGGGTCTGAAAAGACAAGTGATACAGTTAACCACAAGCCAAAAGTGCTCAGGGCAGTATGACACCCCCTTGTTCTGGACAGTGATTTATACACTGAATGAGGCAAAACCCAGCTCTGGGTAGGCACGAGGCAATGGGTTTGCTAGAGAGAGACCCACCGAGGGTGGGGTGTGATGACCCTCAGCCCTGTGCCTGCCCCACAGAGCCCTTCACACTCCCCTTTCCCCTAACAGCCCCTCGTCCCCTCATCCCTTCAATTCCCCTCATGGTCCCTCATACCTCACATGGTCCTTCATTCCCTCATCCCCCTCATGGTCCCTCAGTCCCTCATGGTCCCTCGTCCCCTCATACTCCACATGGTCCCTCATCCCCCTCATGGTCCCTCGTCCCCTTATACC